AAAAAAAAATATATTACAAAAAGAAAATGGAGGGCTGGGGCTATAGCTCAGTGGCACTTGCCTAGCATGTATGAGGCCCTGGGTTTAGTCCTTGGCACTGCATAAAAATGAAACAAAGGAATGCTGTCCATCTACGAGAACAACAACAAGTTTAAAAAAATAAATAGAAGAAAATGAATTGATATTATTGCTTTAGAAACTTTATTTTTCACAAATTTCAGTTCCTTTTTTATTAAAATGATTGTTAACATAACACTCTCTTTTTTGCACTAGTASAATTAAGAACTGTACTCAACCTATCTCCTCCACTCTCTGTTTGAATCCCTCTTTTGATTTATAATTTATATTTACTCAACCTTGGACTGGGGTCTACTCTGTGGTAGAGTACTTATGCAGGAAGCCTGTGTCCAAGCCCCAATTCAGGAAAAAAAAGTTTTTAACCTTTTAATAATGCTTAKCTAGTATTGATGCCTAATAATGATTAGCTACTATTATAATTATTATTACTTGAATTTTCTGTGATTATGATCTAGAAAATCACCACTAGATTTTTTTTTTTTCTCTTGGGGGGAAATTATAAGGCTCAGCGCAAAGAATTTAAAGGGGGTTTGGGGATGTATACTGGAGATCACACCCAAGGCCTCATGCATGCTAGGCATGTGCTCCACAACTAAGCTTTACCTTCTGTCCCAGGAGTTTAATTTTCGAAAGGTCATTGATATTCAGCTGTTATTACCTTTTAATTGTCTCAATATAGAATAAAATATATTTCTTCAGCATTGTTTCTTGGTTTTGTTTTGGAGGGTTTAAAGAAGAGGTTTGATTTTTTTGTTTGTTTGTTTTGTTTTGTGGTTCTGAAAATTGAACCCAGAGGTTCTCTACCAATGAGCTACATTCCCAGCCCTTTATTTTATTTTTATTTCTATTTTATTTCAAGATAGAGCCTCACTGCATTGTCCAAAGTGGCCTGAAACTTGTGATCCTCCTGCCTCGGCTTCCTGAGTCGCTGGGATTATAATAGGCGTATACCACATACCCAGCTACTGGGAGAGCTTTTTAAGAAAGCTCTGGGTTCCACCTTAGAGCAGTGCTTCTTAAACTTTAAAGTACAAATAAATTATAGTAGCATCTTATTAAAATACTGGTTCTGACTCCGTAAGCCTAGGGTGAGGCTTGAGAGTTTGTTTTGTTTTTCTTTTTCTTTTCTGCAACACTAGGGACAGAACTCAGGGCCTTGCACATGTGAGGCAGTATTCCACCTTTGAGCGACACCCCAAGCCCAAGATTCTGCATTTCTAAAAATGATCACATTTTGAATAGTCCCCAAATTCTTCATCCAATACCTATAGAATGGAGCATATTGTGGAAATTACCTAGTGTGTTCATTTGCCTAACAAATGAAGTTTGATAATCACATCCTCTGGTGAGAGCTATGGTATAACAATGCCTAGGTATATATTAGAGCTTTTGGGTTGTTTTTTCCAATGCAGTAGTCCAGGCACAGTTCTAGTGTCTTTCTTTTTTCAGTTCCTTTAAATTCTTCTGATATTCCACTTGTTGCAGTCTGTTAATCCTGCTATGGGCTGAATACATAGACACCTTATCAATATGGCCTTCATTATTCACCTTATTAAAATTGCATTATCTCCCCATATTGCCTATCTCTCTTCCCTGCTCCTTTTTTTTTTTTTAATGCTTTTTGCCTTCAATTTTCAAACATACAGGCCAAGTGGCACATGCCTATAATCCCAGTGATTTGGAAGGCCAATATAAAAGGATTGCAAGTTTAAGACCAGCCTGGACAATTTAGCAACACCCTATCCCAAGATAAAAATAAAAAGGCAGAACTCCAATGGGTTCAACATCCCCAGGGGAGCTGAACAACATCCCTAGCCCCCATTTTGTTTCTGTTACATCTTTCTTAACTAGAGTAAACAATCAGTTCACTGCTTTATTCCTAGCACTTTGATTAATGACTACGTGGCACATAAATGTAACTTAACAAATATTTACTGAAAGAAAACATAAAATGCCTCATAATAAAATAGACACTGTTTAAAGGATTGAGCACTTACAGTATGTGAACACATGAACTCTATAGTTTATTGTTGTTTGATGTCCTCTTGCCCTTATTTGCAAAAGTGATGTTCTAAAGAGAAATCCAAAGATAGAACTGCTGACATTTTTTAAATGAGGTTAGTACTCTCTATTTTAACAACCTAGTATTTTATGTAATGTAATCGATAGAAATTATTTCCACTGTTTGATTAGCTAGAACATGTAAAATTATTGCCTTCCCATAGATGGAAGGCAGCTAATGCTGAAAGTGTGAGTTCACAGAACTAACAAGTAAAAAAGAACAGGAAAAACTCTTCTTCCAGCATTCTGTAGATATCCCAAACATTCAGACATCAAATTTCACAATAGATCAAAAGGCAAAGGTTTTGTCAAATGAACTCAAGCTTAATTTTTAAAAATACCACACAACCCATGGTGTTCTCACAGATAATACTTTATACCTTTCTTTCTTCTATAAAAATCTTTGCTGGCTATTTCCTATAATTCTTTTGAAAGAGGAAAAAAGCCATAAGATAGCACTTTTATATATAAAGTTCAAAATAGGCAAATCTAATCTTTTGTGTTAGCAGTAAGTTTACTTGAGGAAGGCTAGTAAGTAGGAGGGGCTGGAGAGGGTTTCTTATGCTTAAGGAAAAGTGCTGCTCGGATTGAGTGTGGATACACACAGATGTATTAAAGAAAAAAATTCTTCTGGCTACACTTACAACTTTGCATTTTTCTATGTCATATTTCAAAAACAATTTACATTAAAATTTTTTTAAATAAGAATTTAGGTTTATAAGCATTTTATAAATGTTTATTTTATTCCCACTTAACCGTAGCTGTGGAACTTTAGATGTTCTTAAAATTAATTATTTCGTTTGGCTTTATAAGCTTTTTTGTTTTGTTTTTTATTTTTGGTTCTGTAAACTTCAGATATGTTGAAGTAGTGAATTCTGCTTTTACAATTTTACACATAAAGTTTTTTTTCTTTCCTCAGCAAAGAAAGAATAATAAGAAAGTACGAGTGACAGTGAAGCCACATTTGCTATACAGAGTAAGTTCCTATCAAAGAATTCAAACTAGTTGCTTTTGCTTTAAAAATGTTTTCAATATATTAGAGAAACTTTTAATGAGAATTAATGGCTCTCTCCTTTTCAGCCTTTAGAACAGCAACATGGAGTCATTCCTGATCGGGATGCAGAATTTCGTCTCTTTGACCGTGTTGTAAATGTGAGAGAGAATTTTTCGGTTCCAGTTGGCCTTCGGGGCACCATCATAGGAATCAAAGGAGGTAATGTCTCAATACTTGATAAGTCTTTAGCTATACTTATAAAGTAAAATAAAGCACAAATTTGTGTGTTTTTCATATCTAAGCAGAAAAATGTATATATCAGGAAAAAAAATCCTTTTATGTTGTAGCTTTTGTGAAATTTTTTTTCCTTCTACATTGTATTTGTCAGAGAAAATTCCCTTTTATTTTTGCCTGTGTAATCATCTAAGACATAATTAAAAGAGGGGGAAGTTGAGATGGGACTGTCAAATTTTGATTGTTTATATTTATCACACTGAAATTATATAAAATCTTTAAGGTAAACATATGTTTTTATAAAACTAAGAGGAAATTTTCATAATTCTTCTTCAAACTTTTTTTTTTTTTTTTTTTGATACTGGGAATTGAACCCAGGGGCACTTAACCACTGAGCTACATCCCAACCCTTTTTCATATTTTATTTAGAGACAGGATCTCTCTAAGTTGCTAAGGCTGGCTTTGAACTCTTAATCCTCCTGCCTCAGCAGTCCCAAGCTAATGGGATTACAGGCACTGTACCCAGGCTTTAAACTTTTGTCTAATCTTGCTCAGAGTTTTACTTTAATTTCCATTGTAATATTTAGGATTCTGTGAAGAAATAAATAAACATCACATTGTTTACATTTGAAGATTGGGAATTAAATTTGTATATTAATCTAAATTTTATATCTATAATTAAATTATATAAAACAGACCTATCACTCTGTTAAACAATAATGTGCATATAGTTAGCATTACTGTACTGTATACTTTAAAATGGCTAAGATGGTAAATTTTATGTTTTTATATTGTTTTGTTTTGGTGCTAGAGATTTAACCTAGGACACTGTGCATTCTAAGTACTTGCTCTACCACTGAGCCCTATGTTGTGTATTTTAACCAAAAATTTAAAAAGGAGATGTGGAGGATGGTACACACCCATAATCCCAGTGACTTAGGAGACTGAAGCAAAAGGATCACAAGTTTGAGGCCAGCCTGTGTAGTTTTGTAAGACCCAATGTCAAAGTTAAAAAATAAAAAGGACTGGGAATGTAGCTCAGGGTAGCATGCCCCTGGGTACAATATCAAGTACTGGGGAGTAGGGGGTGGAGGAGAGAAATAAAGGAAGAAAAGAAAAAAAAAAGGGAAAAAGCATCTAAGGTTCTAAATGTGTCCCAAAGAGATACCTGGAGTGAACAACTTTATGGAGCAGATTCCAAAAATAGCCCCAACCTGAGACAGCAAATCAGGTGTCCAGGGATCAGGATGCTTTGCAGCACTGTCTCTCCATGTCCCAGGCACTCAACCACTTGGTCTCACCATCCCAAAAGGAAGAATAGGCAGGCCACAGGCATATTCAGTATCAACAGTATGCCACATACTTAAATATTTTGTACTCAACCTTCACAACCACCTGACAGATGGATATTATTTCCTTACCTGAGAGATTAAACAATTTGCTTCTATATACATCAGTAAGTGGAAGAGCTGTAATTTGGCTTAGTTTGCTTAATTTAATGGTCTCAAGTTCCATCCATTTTCTTCGAAATGACATGATTTCATTTTTCTTTATGGCTGAATAAAACTTCATTATGTATACATACTACATTTTCTTTATCCATTCATCCGTTGATGGACACCTAGGCTGCTCCATAGTTTGGCTAGTGTGAAATTGTGCTCCTATAAATATGGGCAGGCATGTATCACTGTAATTTTTTTAGGATAAATACTAAGGAGTGGTACAGCTGGGTCATATGGTGGCAGATATTGTGTAGTCTTCTCCACAGATATAAAACTGGTTGAATGAAGAGCAACTGACTGATTGATTGATTTTTAAGGAATTGGCTCATGTAGCTATGGAGACTGGCAACTCCAAAATTACAAGCTGTAAATTCCAGCAAGAGCTGATTTTGCTTGAGTCTGGAGATAGATTTCTTCCTTTGGGGATCCCAAATCTTCTCTTATGACTTTCAGCTAATCAGATGAGACCCACACAGGTTATGAAGAGTAATCTACTTTGCTCAAAGTCTGCTAACTTGAATGTTAGTCACAGCTTAAAAATAGTTTCACGGGCTGGGGATGTGGCTCAAGCGGTAGCGCTCTCACCTGGCATGCGTGCGGCCTGGGTTCGATCCTCAGCACCACATACAAACAAAGATGTTGTGTCCGCTGAAAAACAAAAAAATAAATAAAATTCTCTCTCAAAAATGTATCTTTAAAAAAAAAATAGTTTCACAGCAACATCTACATGAGTGTTTAATCGAACAGCTGGACACCACAGCCTAAGTTCACAGATGAAATCCACCAACATGAATATCTTAGACAAGCAACTCCCAAAGTGCAGTACTTTCTACTATACTTGAAATAACATGAAGTAAAATAGGGCAGTTCATTAAGTAACATTGATCAGTGATTCTTTTATATTGTATTTTCATCCTAATTATTTTCAGAAGAAAGACTCTATTTGAAATGAGCCCTGACACAGCACTATGCTTACTTGTAACAAAGGAAAGCAGGACCAGAAGTCAGCAAGAAATTAATTACATTGTTTTCATCTTTTTTTGTTGTTGTTGGTACCCAAGGCCTCACACATGCTAGGCAGGTACTTTAATACTAAGCTACATTATTAGCCCTTTTTGCTTTTGTTTTTATTTATTTTTGTTGTTGTTTTGGTTGTTTTGTTTTGTTTTGTTGTTTTGGGGGGTACCAGGGATTGAACTCAAGGTCACTTGATCACGGAGCCACATCCCCAGCCTTTTTTTGTATTTTATTTAGAGACAGTCTCACTGAGTTGCTAAGCGCCTTTTACTGAGGCTGGCTTTGAACTTGAGATCCTCCTGCCTCAGCCTCCTGAGCCACTGGGATTATAGGTGTTCCCTACCTGCCTGGCTTTTATTTTGTTTTAAGACAGGGTCTTACTAAATCGCCAAGGCTGGTTTGAACTTTTGATCCTCTTACCTTAGCTAGCTTCCTCAGAAGCTGGAATTACAGGTGTGCTTATTAGCCTATTTTACAGAAATCAACAAGATGATTTTTAAAACCTATATAGGATCCAAAGACTCTGGACTAGTCAGATCAATTTGAAAAAATGACAAAATTGAAGAATTTATACTACCTGATTGCAAAATGTATAAAGCTTGAATAGTGGAAAACAGTGTAGATTGKCATAAAAACAGACTGTGTGTAGATTAGTGGAATAGAATTAGACGCCAGAAACAGACCTATACGTTTATGGTCAATTGTTTTATAGTGAAGAAATTAARTACACCTTATACCTTCTATAGAAATTAGTTGAAATTAATCAGAGACTTATGTAAGAGGTAAAATTACAAAAACTTCTAAGAAAAAAAATATTAATAACATAGAGTTTGTTAAAGATATCTTAAATAGCACATAGAAAGCCTGAAATAGAAAACATTGATCATTTGGATTTCATGAAAATAAAAGATGTTTTCTCTTCAAAGACACTGCTACATACCAGATACGGTAGCACAATTCTGTAATCCCAGCAACTCAGGAGACAGAGACAGAAAGATCACAAGCTCAAGGCCTGCCAGACAACTTTGCAAAACCTTATGTCAAAATTAAAAGGGCTGGGGATGTAACTAGTTGTGGACCACTTTCCTAGCATGCACAGGACCTAGGTTCAATCCCCGGTACCAAAAAAAAAAAAAAAAAGACATTATTACAGAAATGAAAAGACAAGCCACATACAAAGAAAATATTAGCAAACTGTAAATCCAACAAAATACTTGTGTTTATAATATGTAATTTTTATAACTGAGTAATAAACAATTCAAAATTTTAAAAAAAGAATAGCTGAACAGATATTTTACCACAGAAGATATGTGGCAGAAACATGAAAAGATGCTCAAAACCATTCATCATTAAGAAATACAAATTAAATCCATAAGAAGAGTTGAGGATGGAGCATATTGGTAGAGTACTTGCCTACCATGCACAAGGCCCTGGATTTAATCCCCAAACCTCAGTACAAAAAAAAATTTAATTGTAATGCATTCTGCTGTCTCATATAACAAATTAAAATTTTAAATATTAAAATATTTAATGTTAAATATTAGCAGTAAAAACAAAACAAAATTGTTAGCAGTATTGTGGAATAACTGCAACTCTCCTACATTGCCAGTGGGGATATAAAATGATACGGCCACTTTGGAAAGTAGGTTTTTAAAAAAGCTATTAAACATGCATCTACTGTAAAACCCAGCTGTTCCACAGCTGTTGCATCCCTAGAGGCTTACCCAAGGAAATGAAGGCTTAAACAAAAACAAGGTCTCATTCATGAATCTTTGAAGCAGCTTTGTAAATAATGACCAAAAAATTGGAAATAATCTAAATGTGCATCAACAGGTGAGTGGTTAAATAAATTGTTAGATACCTGTACAATGAGATATTTCTCAAACAATAAAAAAGAAAAAACTACTAATACATACAATGAGAATGACACTCAAAATAATTATGCTGAAAGAAGCTAGACAAAAGAGGAATACATATTCTATGATTTTATTTATATAAAATTTTAGAAATACAAATTAACCTATTGTGACAGCAGACTTTTAGTGGTTTCCCAGGGAAGGAGGGTGTGGATTACAAAAGGACACAGGAGGGGGCTGGGGATGTGGCTCAAGCCATAGCGCGCTTGCCTGGCATGCGTGCGGCCCAGGTTCGATCCTCAGTACCACATACCAACAAAGATGTTGTGTCCGCCGAGAACTAAAAAATAAATATTAAAAAWTCTCTCTCTCTCTCTCTCTCTCTCTCTCTCTCTCTCTCTCTCTCTCTCTTTAAAAAAAAAAAAGGACACAGGAAACTTTGGGAAGTGATTTTTTTTCCAATTTATTATTTTTTATTTGTTCTACTTTAGTTGTACATGATAGCAGGATGCATTTCAGTTCTTTTTACACAAATGTAGCAGAAAATTTCAATTCTCTGGTTGTACACAGTGTAGAGATGAACCATTCATGCATCATACATGTACCTAGGATAATGATGTCCATCTCATTTCACCATCACTCCTGCCCTCATAATTCTTCCCCATCCTCCCCTTTGCCCAATCTAAAGTTCAGGAATGGTTATATATGATGGCTTCATAATTAATGCCTTATGTTAAAACTCATTAAATTGTATTCTTTAAATATGGGCAATTTATCCCATGTTACTTATACCTCAGTAAAGCTGTTTAAAAAAAAAATGTAACCAGGTACAGTGGTGCTCACTGTAATCCTAGCAGTTCAGGAGGCTGAGGCTGATCATAAGTTTGAGGTCAGCCTTGGCAGGAGCCTCAAAATTTAAAAAAAAAAAAAGAAGAAGAAGAAGGAAGAGGACTAGGTACCTAGCTCAGTGGTACAGAACCCTTGCATTCAATCCCCAATATCCAATAAATAAATAAGTGCATTCTTTACAGCTAGCAATTTCACTTCTAACCTAGGGAAGGATATGGTTAAAGGACAAGATTTATACAATGTTCGTGATAGCAGTGTTTGTAATAGCATTGCTGTCTGTGAGATTCATTCATGTGTCTTTGCATTTATTCTGTTTTCTAGATGCACGGTATTCCATCTCTGCAAATACCATGCTTTATCCGTTCAGCAGGGGAACGGATAAAGCATGGTATTTGCAGAGAAAACAAAAGAATATATTGTCTATGATAACATATATATAATGTTTCAAAACTTAGAAAACAATACACTACATATCATTAACATGTGTACACGTGTAGTAAAAGTATGAAGAAATGCCTTTTAGCTCAATGTTAGAACACTTGCCTAGCAGCTCAAGACCTTGGTTTTGATACCCAACACTGGAAAAAAAAAAAAAAATATATATATATATATATAACAATCATAACTGTCAAATTGAAGATAGTGGTTACTTAGCTGGGAATTGGGGTATAGTGGTCTTCTCAAGCACTATATTGTTATATGTCATTCTTCACATCCAGAATATTTTATATGGATTTCAAAAATAGCTTCTGAGCACTCTAAAACTTATCAATGATTTTTCATTATATGACTTTAGTCTCTCTCTCTCCTTCAACAGCTAGTAGAGAAGCTGATGTACTATTTGAAGTATTATTTGATGAAGAATTTCCTGGAGGCTTAACAATAAGGTTTGTATTTCCAAATAATGATTTTATTTTGTGACTATGTCCACGTGGCCTCGGATTTTACATTATTTGTTTGTATGTCCACAGTTTAGTTCATAGTTTATGTAGGATACCACACTTACTACACAGTATATCATGGTGAATAAGGCAGACATGCTTTCTGCCCTTATAGAGTTTGAATTTTATTGAGAGAGATAATGAAGCAACTAAGTACAGTATTAATTATTTAATTAAAATGTAATAAGAGAGTGGAAGGAAAAATAAATAATAGTTAATTGGCAGAAGAAGGAACAGTGAAGAGTGCTCAGAAAGACAAAAAAAAAGAGCATATATAACAAAGGATATTTATGGTTAAGTAACTTGAGGAGTAGAAATGTCCCTTGAATTCAGTGACTTGTAAATATTTCAGTAGAGTGGTGGACCTGACTGGAGTGGTTTGAGGTGCGAATAGCAAGTGGAGTGGAGACAGGAAATGAAGGTAACACTTGAGAAACCTGACTAGGAAGGAAAAGAGCAATAGAACAGGAAGGTAGCAGGTTTAATGACCTAGGTTTGAATTGTTTTTGATTTAACTTAAGTAAGACTTGAATTCATTTTGAGAGCATTCTAACTCAAAGTTTAAAGTTTATGGGAAAGCTCATGATGGTATAAAGGCACCATGGTGTATTAGAAAGTCTGAGCTCTTTCACTTAAACTAACCTTGGGTAGGTTAGTATCCTCTTTCACTAGGTTATTATAAGGATAGAATAAAATCCTGTACAGTTTTCCTTTTGCTCTTCTAAAATCAACTAGAAGACTAAAGTGAATGTAGCTCAGTTTCCTCTTCTCTTCTGTTTTGGGTAATTAAAAATTTTAAATTATTCTTATTTAACTTCCTGGCATAAACTCACAATCTTCAATCTTTGTTCTAAATGGTTCCCTTCAAGATGCTATTATTATCATTTTAAAACTCAGATATTGTCTGGGTATGTAACTCAGTGGTAGAGTGCTAACCTAGTATGCTCTTGGCCCTGCAGTTGATCCCCAGTACCACAAAAAAAGAAAAAGAAACCTGAATATGCTTGCTGCCCAAAGACCTTTCTGCCTATACTCTTTAAATGCAGCAACAGAATCTGGATCCTTATTTGATTTTATTTTTCATAAAAATGTTTGATTACTAGTAACTTTAGCCAACTAACCTTTGAAAATAGTTTTAGTCTGTTTTTAGGTTTTTCCTCCCAGTGTCTTTTTTCCCTCTCCTAGTTAAGGGCAGTGGATTGCTTGACTGATAGAGGGCTATGTAAAAGATTAACTGTCTGCAGAATACTGATTTTCATAATATGGAATCTTTGCTAAGTGTAGTTCTTATTAAAATTGGTATTTTATAGCAACCTTGCAGTTAAAAAAATTTCTTATAAAAGAACTATATACTTTTGCTTGGTGTGGTGACACACACCTGTAATCCCAGTGACAAAAGGCTGAGGCAGGAAATTCACAAGTTCAAGGCCAGCCTCAGCAACCTAGCAAGACACTATCTCAAAATCTTTTTAAAAATGTAAAAATGAGCCAGGCACAACGGTGCATGCCTATAATCCAGTTTATTACTTCTTATGATGGATACCCCCAAATTATTTGATTCTTCTCCCTAGCATATTTAGTATTGTTTCCTTTTGATCCTGATAAACCATTTTACTTTTAGGTGCTCACCTGGTAGAGGTTATCGACTACCAACAAGTGCCTTGGTGAACCTTTCTCATGGGAGTCGCTCTGAAACAGGAAATCAGAAGTTGACAGCCATTGTGAAACCACAGCCAGCTGTGAATCACTATAGCCCAAATTTATCAGTTTCTGCCTCACATTTAGGAGGCCTCAACCATTCTCCTCAGTCACTTTTTGTTCCTACTCAAGTAAGTCAGTGTTTAACTTCTCTCCATCTTCTTTACAAAATCACAAATCATGGCAGACTTTCTAAATGGAAATTTAATTTGACTTAGTTTTCCTTTTTTATTTAAAAAGTGTAGTTCAAATCAATTTCAAAGTTGTTTTAAAATAGTAGGCTAATGAAGAATGCTATTACTCAGCTCATCCAGAGACTGTCAGGATGATCACAAGTTCAAGGCCAGCCTGGGCAATTTATTGAGACTGTCTCAAAATATAAAATTTTTAAGGGCTGGAGATGTAGCTTAGTGGTAGAGGTTTTGCTTAGGAAGCAAAAGGTCCCTGGATTTAATCCTTATACCACCAAAAAAAAAAAAAAAAAAAAAAGAAAGAAAAGAAGGAAGAAGAATTCATTCTGCTGCTATTAAATTAGTTTTATTAAAAATAAAATACATTAGGGCAAGGATCATAGCTCATTGGTAGAACACTTGCCTAGCACCTGTGAAGCACTGGGTTCAATCCTTAACACCATATAAAAATAAATAAAGTAGAGGTATTGTTTCCATCTACAATTTAAAAACATATAAAAAATAAAACTAGATTAATTGAAAGAATGAACTTGAGAATATGTTTTTTATGTTTACTTTTTAAATTATCATTTAAATTTTTTCTTATAATCTATATGTCCTATGCTATCTTCTATGAATGATAGAAATTGAAAAGTTCAAAGGGAAATTACATTTGTCAAAAGCAGTTTTTAAGTTCCCACCATGTAATTCATGGATGATTTTCTTTTCTTTTCTTTTCTTTTTAATAACTTTGTGTTTTTGGTTTTTGGTTTTTTTAAATGTGGTGCTTAGGATCAAACCCATGCTAGGCAAGTGCTCCAACCATGAGTCACGACTCCAGCCCATGGATGATTTTCTTAATCTTTCTGGACACAAAAACTGAGTTATCTTTTCTGAAACATTGAACTGTATTTAATTCATGGCCCCAATTTTTAGGCTTAAACACATTTTTTTAACCAAATAATACATATATATTCTAGACTAGTTGGAAAACATATAATTTGATAGTAACAAAGGAAACACAAGCAAAAATCTTTCAAGGAGCATAGGTAACTGCTATTAAATTTTGAAGCAAGTTTTTTCAGAATCTTAAACTGCATTAAATCAATTTAATTAAATTAATTATAAATTATAAATTAATAATTTATGAATTATAATCATAAATAATCAAATTTAAATTTATTTCTAATTTATAAATTAATAGATAATTTCTAAATTTACCGATATTACTTTATGTAAAATAGAAATTTTTAAAACAAAATCTTTAGATGTTTGTATAAATGAGATTATATACTAATATGTTAGAAGGGAAAAAAACTGTTGGTGAAATATTGAGTATAATCTTTGTTTTTTAGTTGTTGATGGACCTTTATTTATTTTTATGTGGTGCTAAGGATCGAACCCAATGCCCCACACATGGTAGGCAAGCTCTCTACTACTGTGCTACAACCCCAGCACAAATATAATCTTTTTTTTAAATTTTTTTTAAATTTTATTTATTCTAATTTGTTATATATGCAACAGAATACATTTTAACTCATATTACACAAATAGAGCAGTTTTTCACAAATTACACAAATTAAACGGAAATTTAATTTGACTTAGTTTTCTTTTTTTATTTAAAAAGTGTGGTTTAAATCATGTCACTGGTTGTACCCGAGTATAATCTTTTATAGTCTTTCTTATGTTTTATTTTTTAAGTAAACCTGTTCAAAACATTTGCATATTTAAAAAGACTAGTTTCGTTCTAGTAGAATGCTTTCATAATTACTGAGCTAAGCTCTAGAAAAAACAAAAATTCAGGGATTTCAAATAATGAAAATAAATATCCAACCTACAACTAAATAATTTTAATAAATAAATAATTTCGTATGAACTTTTGTCCTAATTTTCTTAAGAAATTGTTTGTGCTTTACTAGGCACCTATTAAAGATGATGATGAATTTTGCAACATTTGGCAATCCTTACAAGAATCTGGAAAAATTCAGCAGTTCCAGCCAACTGTACAAGAGAAGGTTAGTATTCTTTATTTGATGAACAATTCGTTTTTAAAAAGATTTTTTTTAATTTTTCTTTCAGCTTTGCAATAATTAAAAATTTCTCCTAAAATAGAAAAAAGACAGTTTTGATTATGAATTTTGGTAATTATTTTTAGATATGAAATTTTAGGACCGGTGAGTGAGAGTACATTTTTCTTTTAAGTCAGTTTTGGAATTTATTTATTTATTTATTTATTTATTTTTGGTACCAGGGATTGAACTCAGGGCACTTAACCACTGAGCCACATTCTGAGCCCTATTTTATAGTTTATTTAGAGACAGAGTCTCACTGAGTTGCTTACCACCTCACTTTTGCTGAGGTTCACTTTGAACTCATGATCCTCCTATATCAGCCTCACAAGTCGCTGGAATTACAGGCATGTGCCACCACACCCAGCAGTTTTGGATTTTTTTTAAAGCTACTTAAAAATCACAGTAGCTATATTTTAAGTTCAACGAAGGTTTTAATGGCAATAACTTATTTTTTTCCACTTGAATGTATAATCTTACACTAGAAGTTGATTTGTTAAATATGAATGAGCAAATTTATATTCCTTTATAAAAATAAGAAGATGAAAGAGGGCTGAGGGTATATAGCTCAGAGAGCTTACCAACATTTATAAGGCCCTAAGTTCACTCCCCAGCACAACAACAAAAGAGCAAAGAAATGCTGCTAAAAGAATAGTCTCAAAGAAATGAAGAGGGCAAAGAGTTAATTCCTGCTAATTTTTTTGCTAGTTACTAACCTAACTTCTCAGTGGGGGTCAAAAATATTGTTCTGTCTATAATCCACTAGCCTGCACCATAAGCACCTCATCTGTTTCAGTGTCCTGTGGCATTATCTGTGCTAGAGAGGACAAAATTGCAAATGTGATGGTAAAACAAGCATAAAAAGTGAGGGTGGAATCGGGGGATTTTGCTCAGAGGTAGAGCATTTACCTGACATCTGGAGGCCCAGGGTTCTATCTTAAACATGTGCATGTACACACACACACACACACACGAAAGCCAGGCACAGTGACATAGCCCTTTAATCCCAGCAACTCAGGAGGCTGAAGCAGGAGGATCACAAGTTTGAAGCCAGCCTCAACAACTGTCTCAAAATAAAACGCATTGGGAATGTAACTTAATGGTGAACTCCCCCTGGATTTAATCCCTAATACTGAAATTAAAAGTGAAAACTGAGAATTGACCATAGAGTTTAGCACCTGAAGTTCATTGGGAACCTTGAGGAGCAGTTTCAGTAATATGATGAGACTAAAAAACTGGAGTGTGTTTAAGAGAGAAGGGGAGAACACCAGTAGTACACACCTGTAATCCCAGCACCTGGAGAGGCTGAGGCAAGATCATCAGTTTAAAGCCAATTTAGCAAGACTCTATCTCAAAATAAAAGAACAAAAAGGGCTGAGGATGTAACTCAGTGGTAGAGCACCCCTGGGTTCAATCCACAGTATTGAGGTGGGGCCGGGGGAGGGGGGGGGGAGCAGGGGATGACATTAAAAAAAAAAAAGAACAACGGGGAAAGGGGAAGAGAAAGTGGAGGCAGCAATTAGAAACGGCAGTTCTTTGAAGAAGTTTTGTTCTAAAAGGAAATGTTAGCAAGGTGCATTTTGTGGTTCATACCTGTGGTCCCAGCTACTATCAGTTACTTAAGTCAGGAGACTGTCCTAGGCCAGGAAAGAATTCATGGCCAGTCTGAGAAACACAGCAAGACTTTTCTCTTAAAATGAATGAGTGAATGGATGAGTGGATGGAAGTATTACCCTGAGAGCCTTGTAGTCTATATCCATCTATGCAACTACTTTGGTTTTTGGTTTTTTGGTACTGGAGATTGAATCCAGGGGTGCTATACCACTGAGCTCCATCCCCAGCCCTTTTTATTTTAAGATTTCCAGACAGGGTTTCACTAACTTGCTGAGGGTCCTACTAAGTTACTGAGGCTGCCCTCAAACTTGCAAACCTTTTGCCTCAGCCTCTCAAATAATTGGGATTATAGGTGTAAGCCTCCATGCCTGGCTCTATTCAAATTTTTTTTTAACTTGTGCTCTTCCAACCTTTCACTGGGAACTGTTCCTCTAAATTCAGCAACAGTTTTTTCCCCTTTTTGCCTTATTGCTTGACCAATGACTTTGACTCTTACCTCTTTGCTAAGAATTGTTAATCTTACATCTTGGCTTCAAATGTATTTTAAATTGAAGATGTTAGTTAATTTGCATTCCCTTTCATGTTCCTTCCCCAAGTATCTTATTTTTATTAATATTGATATTGTCAAATAATAGGAAGACATTACAGTACTTAAAACAATTAGCAAGAGCCCAGTGCAGTGACACCAGTTTATAATCCCAGCAATTTGGTAGGCTGAGACAGGAGGATCACAAGTTCAAGGCCAGCCTCAGCAACTTAGGGAGGCCCCAAACACAGGTCCTTGTACTACCTTGCTCTTGTCCAGAGCTATTTCTTCTCCTGCTCACTCCCTGCCCCCACCTCCCCCAGAGGTAGGATTATCCCAAAGCACATCTAGAAAGGCTGCTGTTTCTGTTGTAAAGAAACATTTACCTAAAGTTTAATATTTCTTTAGTTTCTGTGTTTAACTTAAAACAAAATTTGGTTTAATTCTATTCAAATACAGCTTTAAAAAAAAAGAAAATAGCACTTTCATAAAAGGATTGTTTTCTATTTGTCTTGCTGTCATACTGATGCCTGGAGAAATGTTTTCAGTGATGAGAATTATGTAAATTATTTTTATTGCTGGTGGTGAATTTTGGATAGTTTTTTAAATTCTGTTTGCTTTTCTATCTTACTTTTTTCCTAAGGAACTATGTAATTTTTATTAAAATAATAAAGTAATTATTAATTAAAAGTTGAGGAAAAGTAATAGTTATAATATTAAGATTTATTTAACTTATTCTTAAGCATTTTAACTTGCAGGGTGCAGTTCTACCTCAAGAAATAAGTCAAGTAACTCAACAGCATAAATCTGGCTTTAATGACAACAGTATTAAATACCAACAAAGGAAACATGACCCTCACAGAAAATGTAAGTTTTAAATTAGAAAGGTTTACTTGTATATTATCTGTTGCTTTTTTTAACATCAAATTGTATACTTATTCATTTTTATGTGGTGCTGAGGATCAAACCCAGTGCCTCACACATGCTAGGCAAGTGCTCTACCGCTAAACTACAACCCCAGCCTCACCTGCTTTCTTTTTTTTWAAAAAAAAAAAAAACAGCTTCGAGGTATACGTCCCATACCATAAAACAAATTCATCCTTTAAAGTATACAATCAGTGTTTTGTGTTATTTTGTTGTTTATGTTTTTACAAAGTTGTGTAATCAATACCACTATCTAAATTTAAAACATTTTCATCACCCCAAAAAGAAACATCATACTCACTAATAATAATACTCTTCTAGGCCCTCACAACCTCTAATTTATTTAGTGTGGATTTACATATTCTGTATGTTTCATATAAATAAAAGCAAAAGCTGAGTGTGGTGGCACACACCTGTAATCCCAGCTACTCAGGAGGCTTAGGCAGGAGAATTGCAGATTTGAGATCAACCTCCTCAATTTAGGGAGGCCCTAAGCAACTTAGCAAAACCCTGTCTCAAAGTAAAAAATAAAGTAAAAAAGGATGGGAATGTATCTCAGTGATTAAACACCCCTGGATTCAGACCCTAGTACCCCCCCCCCGCAAAAAAAAAAAAATAGAAAACATGACTTTTAAGGTCCTTTCATGTTATAGCCTGTATCTGTAAGTACTTCATTCCTTTTATGACCGAATAATATTCCACTGTGTGAATACCACTTATTTTTCCATTCATCTGTTGCCATATTTGGAGATATGATGAATAATGCTACTGTGAATATATGTGTACCATTTTTTTTGAGAACATATATTTGTAATTCTCTTGAGAATTACTTCTAATTCTTCTACTTCTAGTACTGAGTCATATGGTAACTCTGTGCTTAACTTTCTGTGGTACTACCAAACTTTTTTCCAAAGTTGCTATACCAAAGTGGCTATACCATTTACATTTGCCTTCCATATGTAAACATCCAGCCTGATCACAACACTTGTTATTGTCCATTTGTTTGATGATAACCATCCTGGTACATGTGAAGTAGGATCTCCTTGGATTCTCATTTACAATTCATTAATGACTAATAACGTTGAGCAGATATTCATGTGCTTATTTAACTGTCATATCTTTTTTAGAGATCTGTTCAAATGCTTAGTTAATTTTTTAATTGGGTTATTTGTCTGTTTATTTATTTTGCAGTGCTGGGGACTAAACCCACAACTTCATGCTTGCTAAGCAAGCACTCTACTACTGAGCTATATCCTAGGCCCCTCAAACACATTTTTGTTGTTGTTGTTTGGGGTTTTTGGTTGGTTGGTTGGTTGGTTGGTTTTGCCTGCCTTCCTTTCTTTCTTTTCTTTTTTATAATTTTTTTCTTTTCTTTATAGTAATGAGAATCGAACACAGGGTCTCACATGTGCGTGCTAACCATTGTGCTTAAACCCCTCAGCCCTCAAGTGCTATTCTGTATCTACTGAGATGATCTGTTCTTTATTCAGCTTATATGGTGTATTCCACTGATTATATTTCATATGTTTAACAAACTTTGCATTCTTGAGATAAATCCAACTAAGCCACAGTGTAAATCCTTTTTATGTGCTGCAGGATTTGATTTGGTAGTTTTTTAAAGTTCTTTTTTACATGCATATTCATAAATGATGTTGTGTGTAATTTTCTTTTCTTGGGATGGCTTTGATTTTGTTATCATGGTAGTTCATACAATGAGTTAAGAAATGAGCCCTCCTTATGTATTTTTTTGGAAGAGTTTGAGAAGTATTAGTGTTACTTTAAATGTTTGATACAATTCATCTGGACATGGACTTACTAATAATACCCTTTCTCAAAATTGCATTTTAAGAAAGGACTGGGGGTGTAGCTCACTGGTAAGAGTACCCCTAGTTTCAGTCCCAGTACTGCAATCAATCAAGTAAATAAATAAGTAAATGTCTTAATTGGCTTTGTTTGCCACTGTAGAATTGAGCAACACCTCATTGTTTAGAGTAAGTGTTCCCATGGCCTGAGCAGAAGAAGTTGGTTTTATAGATGGGAAAAAGCTAAAGAAAGTAGAAACAAAGACTAAAAAGTGGACTGATCATTTTAAGATACTTTCCTTATGTAGTAGACATGGAGACAGAACAATKGAAAAGTAACTGGCTAACATCAAGGAACTTTGTTCTCATGCCTGTTGAAACTGGCCTATTGGGAAAATTTTAGTTGTTCTTTCTCCTGAGTTCTCAGAAGGCAAGTTAACAACTCAACTTTGGTTTGACTTTTAGTCGATTTGATTCCATTTTGATTTTTAGTCTGACCTTTTAGGGTCTAGTGCAGGATCTTGGCCCAAAACAATGGCCTTCTGTAAGTTTTATTTAACATTCCTTAATATCTGGAACCAGTAAGCCTCCCAATCTGTGCTCAGGAGTTCTCTGTATTTGGTGGGTCATGACTTCAGTACTTAGCCAAGGCATTGCCCTTCCTGTCTCTCTCACTCTCCTTTCCCTCCTGTCATCTCTTGTCCTCCCCCTTTCCCTCTCCCTGCTTCTTTCCTCCATCTCTCTTTCCTCCTTATTTCCCTTCCTTCCCTTCTTATTTTCTCTTTTCTCCCCACCTGCCTTTGCCCCTCCCCAGATTGGCTTTATAAACAGCCAGTGATAAGAAAGTGGTATAAATATGTTAACGGTACATCTATATAATTCAGTATATTCAAAATTATAGAATAGTATGTATTGATTACAAATTATGCTTTTCTTGCCTCTTGTCCTCATCTCCTTCATCTTTACATACTTTTGTTTGTTAAATCATATAATCTTTCAAATTTTAATTTTCCTACCACCTCTCCAACTTTCCCTTAACAGGAATATTAAAATAGCTAATTTGTCTCTTATTCTTCTTCTGTCTAGCTAATAGGCTAATTTTAATCTTACTAAAACACAATTCTGATCACATTACTACTTCCTCAAAACTTTTCTGATTGCTTACCCTACCAATTTTAATTGCAGATATGGCTCTAACCTGCTGCTTTTAGTTCCATTCAGCTGTTATACTCCTTACCTACCAGTGGAACTGGTTTGTTTAGAGTTCCGTAACACACTCCTTGCTTTCTGCTCTTCTTCCACTATTCCTTCTGCCTGGAATACTTAGATTCCTATGCTCCCTTTGGAAATCTACCATCCTTAAAGGTTTAATTCAGATGCCACTTTCCTTTACCCTTATTATTGTCTGCAAATATCTCTTCTATCCTTCCCTAGATTATAAAATCCTTTAAATCAGTCTTAATTTCTCTGAATTTAAAGTAAATTCTCTGAATTATGAACAGTTCTTGCTATGGTAAATGTTTGGTAAATTTAATTGTTGTTCAGTGAACTCTTTCATTTACCAAAATTTCTGTTTTCTTGTCTCTAGTTAAAGAAGAGTGTAAGAGTCCTAAAACTGAGTGTAGGTCACAAAAAACATCCAATAAGCAGGTAAGCTTCCTAAAGTCAAATTTCTTTATGCAGTTGATAACCCTATGGCATCTGCCTAAATTTTGTGACTTTTTAAACCAAATCTACAAGGTGTATGGCAGGAAGATTGTTGAAATATAGGTTAATGGTCACTTGAATGGAAGGTTGAACAGTTGGAATGCAGAATTTGGAACTAGGGAACCTGAAATCCTGATTTTTCCATGTAGTAGTTGGGTGGCCTTGAGGAGTTTTTACCTCACAACCTCAATTTCTTCATTTTAAAAATGAAGATAAAAATATTGATCATTTATAGGCTCTCTCAATATATATAATCTATATATACATACATATTTGTGTATGCATTGATAGTATATGGAAGGAACAACATATAAAACTTAGGGTATAAATTTTGTGGAATTAGATTGGCGTGGGGGAAACTGAGATCATTTGTTTTATGTTATATATTCCCTGGCATTTGATAAAAAGCATGTATACATTTTATAATCAAAGAATTTGACATGTATGTATATGATATTTACACTCTGCGTGCACATTATATTTTAATACATATTTTCAAAAACTTGATCTCAGCCTGGGGATATAGGTCAGTTGTAGAATACTTCCTTAGCATATGCAAGACTTTGGGTCTGATACCCAGCACCACAAAAAGCAAAAACAAAAAACTTTTATAAGCTGGTAATCCATTAAATTTATTTTAAAAATCCTAGAAAGTTTGACAATATCATATTTTCAGTAACTAGAATCCATTAACATGTAGATACCAGTAAATAGTTTACTTTTCTGACTTTTAATGTCTTTTTATTTCAAAACTCTTTTGCTGTGATATCCTTCTATTAAAAAATACTTAAAAAAATTTTGTACGATAGTGAAGCCTATGGACTTTTGGTAAAACCATTATTATTCTCTGAATAATATTTTAATGCTAAAATAAAACACAAGATTTGAATGAAAATCACAATTCTAAAATACAATTAAAATCACTGCTATCATAGTTTTCTTGGTCAATTTGGATTGCTATAACAAAAATAACCATAGACTTGGTGGCTTAAAAAAAACAAACATTTATTTTCCTCATAGTTCTGGAGGCTGGGAAGTCCAAGATGAAAGCATTGGCAGAATGATGTTTTTAATGCTTAAAAGGTTTGAAAGAAAAACCTGCAATTTTGAAATACAATTAGGATCTAGTGAGGGCTTTTTTCCTGGCTTGCAAATAACCCCTCTTCTTAAATTCTAATATGGTAGAAAGAAAGAGCTCTGTTCTCTTTGTCATCTTATAAGAAACACTAATCTCTTTATGGGGGCTCTACACTTATGACCTCATCTAAACCTAACCTCCTGAAGGCCCCACATCCTAATACTCATTGGGAGTTAGAGTTTCAACATAGCAATTTGAGGAGGATGCAAACATGCCATCCATATAAGTGGTTTATGGCCTATGTTCATGATTGAAAGAAATGCTAAATCTCATTTAGATATTAATGAAGAGAAATCATTTTTTCCCATTCCAAGTTTACAGGCCTCTTTTTTTCCTTATGATATGAAAAGGAAAGCAGCACATAAAAATTTGTAGCCATTCTAAATGAATATTAATAAGTAGCAAATAAAATTTATTTGCACAGAAAGTTCATTCTTACTTTTTTATAGACTTTTGGAGGGCCTACCAAATGTAATATTAAGCTATTGAAAAGAAATGAAAGTCCAGAAGTCTCAAGAAAGCAAAAGGTTATGACTGGTTATCCAAATGCTATTGATAAGGTAAAAGATATTTATTTAGTTTCTCTTCCCAAAGTTTAACACCTGGGAAGATGATTGAGTGAAATTTTAATAACCAGTTTTGAGCATAAAACTCATAGCTTTTGCTATATCCTTCTACTTTCATCTTCATCCACATATATTTGTTCTTCTTAGCTTAACTCTGGAATTGAGAACTTTTTGGCGTCATTGAATATATCCAAAGAAAACGAAGCACAGTCATCCCATCATGGAGAACCTTCAAATGAAGAGCATTTGTCACCACAATCATTTGCTATGGTTTGTATGCTATAGTTTTTTGTACTATGGTAATTTCTCTACTTCTAGCCATGTATACATACCCCATGTGGCTCTTCAAATACTTTTCCCTCATGTAGGTTGCTGTAGTGCATCTGTATTAGTATCCTGTGAGGAAAAACAGGCTGCCTTGGACAATTTAGCCATCTTTCTCTTTTTTCCTGTTAGAAAAAAGTTCCTGATTTTCAAACATTGCTTCTAAGTGGCTAGGCTAAGATTAAGCAGAACAATAAATATTGTTTCTATACCTGGAATCTAATTTCTTTTCAGCTCTCCACTGTTGCTTTGCCTTGCTCTCTATATAAATGTAGTTAGCATATTAATTTGGGGGATACATGGAGGATTGGGGATTAAACCCAGAAGTGGTATTTACCAATAAACTACATCTCCAGTCCTTTTCAATTTATATTTTGAGACAGGATCTTGCTAAGTTGCTCTGACTAGCCTTGAACTTGTGATTCTCCTGCCTTAGCCTCTAAAGTTTAACAGTGGAACTCTTCAAAAGAAAGATCAAGGGCTGGAGATATGTCTCTGTGGTAGGGCTTGCCTACCATGCACCAGGCTCTGGGTTTGAGCCCTAATATTGAAAAAAAGAAAGATAAACTGTATGAACCTAATGTTAACTCTCCTCTTTCCATCCCCACCATCTCCATATGAATGATTCTCAAAAAAGAAGGGAACACGAATGCTTAAAGAAATTCTAAAAATTGATGGTTCTGACACAATGGACCGTAAGAATGAAATGAAAAAGTTTGGTAATGAAGCCACTGTTTCCTCTAATAAAAGAGATGAATATGGACTGTCCTCACAACCTAAACAAAATAAGAAATTAGGTAAGTAAACTGAGTACTACTACTAATAATCAATATCATTCCCAGGAAGTCAGTGCATTTATTTCTTTTTATCATTTGTTTTTTTAAAAGATAAAACTAGTTTTCTTAAGAGTATAATTTTTACTTGTGTCATTTATCTAAAAATGTAATTGTGTAACCAAAACTATACAATCCCTAAGTCTTCTTATGATGACTTAAATTGTACTATTACAGTTTCTCATTCTATAGATGCCTAAACCTTGAAAGGTTTTTCACATTCTGGCTTTTTTTCCTCAATAATTTAAAAGTGTCTATGTAATTTAAATACATTATTTAACTTTTCTAAAACTCCTTTTTCCTTTTTATAAATGATAACATATTGCAAATAATTAGTATAATAATTACATAACATATATAAGGCAATAAAGACTTGACACATTACAGGTGCCAATAATTGGTATTAGAATTATGTTAAAATAATTTGACCAGTATAAAAATAGGAAAAAAAACATTAAATGAATTTAAAATTATTAATGGAGGTAGACTATGAAGAGTAGGTGATTATCTTAAAATCTCTGAAACCCGTAGCATAATGTGTGGTATATAGCTGCATTTCAATAAATAATCATCGTTGTCCCTACTCTCTGTGTCCTTTAAACATGAGTATTTTATCTATGTAATTATCTTCCAAAGGCTACCAGGAAGAATGACTTAACACAAAAGTTTCCCAGAAAAATAAAAAATATTTTTGAATAATTAATTCTGGATTTATTTTTTTAATATTTATTTTTCAGTTTTAGGTGGACACAATATCTTTGTTTTATCTTTATGTGGTGCTAAGGATTGAATCCAGTGCCTCAGGTGTGGTGGGAAGTGCTCCACCACTTGAGCCACAACCCCAGCCCTAATTCTGGATTTATTAAAGATCAAAATCTAAAACAAAAGCAAAGCCTAGCTCTGTGTTTACTCCAGTGAATATTGCTATAACTGATTAAAATTTTCTAAAGCTACTAGAAAACTAGTAATTATCAAGTGATGATATGCTCCTGAAATATAGCAAAATAAAATTTTAAAATAAAATTGAGTAAAAATAGTCCCAATGTCCAAAATAAGTAAATTTTACTAATTTCAATATAGTGAAATTGGACCCAAGAATCTAATAGTTCAGAATCCAGCCAGTGTTACAGAAGTAACTGGCTCTGTGACTTTGGGGAAGCCCTGTAATATCTTTTTATATTCTGTAGTAGAAAACTAGATTAATTCTTTACCAAGGTATTAGTGAAGAATATGAATGTTCAGAATATTTTAGTCATCTATATAAAAACATAATTAAAAGATTTAATTTCAAAAACCTTGTAAGAAGAATCATTTTGAAGCAACAAAAACATTCTTCCAGTCAGGTGCAGTGATATACTCCTATAATCCTAGCAACTCTGGAGACTGAGGCAGAAGAAACAGTCTTGGCAATTTATTGAGACTCTGTCTCAAAAGATAAAAAGGACAAGGGTATAGCCCCTGAGTTCAAATCCCTGTACCACACAAAAAAAAATTTAAATTCTTGTTCTTTTTTTTTGTTTGTTTTTGGTTATGAACTCCCATTTTTACCCCGTATACAGATTGCAGAATCACATCAGTTACACTTCCATTGATTTAAATATTTCCATACTAGTGTCTGTTGTATTCTGCTGCCTTTCCTATCCTCTACTATCCCCCCTAAATTCTTGTTCTATGTATCTCGGAATGTATGGTAAAATTACAAGAATTGGATCGAAGGCAAAGCCTTAAAACTTAAGCATTAATTGTAGATCTGCTCACGAAAGTCATTTGCTTTGATTTTTACCGGTAACCATACCGTATAGTCATTAGTTGCTCAAGATTTTAATTTGGAGAAATTAACTACTTATTTTTAAATTTTTATCTTAATAACGTATCATTAATCAATTATAATCATCTAAAAACTTTTTATTAAAGTTTCAATAATTTTAAGCAATACTAAATAGTTTATATTTGCTTCTTGGGAGATTCATTTCTTTAAATATTTAGCATTTTCCTATATGATCTACTATAAATACAGTAATTGCATAATTTGAGGTATTTTATTAATATATTTGTCCATTTTGTATTTTTGGTAGCATCTTATATGAACAAGCCTCACAGTGCTAATGAGTACCATAATGTTCCATCTGTGGACAATGTGTGTTGGCCTGTTCCTGGCCAGATCCCTCCTGTGCCCACTCCAGTAACTGAACTTTCTCGAATTTGCTCCCTTATTGGAATGCCACAACCAGATTTCTCCTTTCTGAGAACACCTCAGGTATAGTATTCCATCTGTATAAATTCTTAAACACAGAACTTAAATAAATTGTCTGAAAATCTTTGGCTAGAAAAAAAGGTAATGGAACTTTTAAAATTTAAAATATGAATAGCAAATTTCTGGTTCTCACTCTGGTTATTCCATTTTTACATAACTAGAACCCAAACAGAAGTTTACAGAAAGGAACCTGGGCAGGAAGTATCCTATGAAATTCTTTAGACTGATAGAACTTGGTAGAGATCTTGGTCTATTGCAACAATTTTCAAACTTTTTAGTCTCTGAAACTCCCTTTTTTTTTTAAGGAACCCAAAGCATTTTTGTTGGAGTAAGTTACATTTATATTTATCATATTAGAAATTAAAACAGCCAGGCGCAATAGCGCATGTCTATAATCCCAGCGGCTCAGGAGGCTAATGCAGGAAGATCACGAATTCAAAAGCCAGCCTCAGCATATGCTGTAAAGAATTTAGAAGAGTCTTGAACAGATATTTGTACAACTACATCCATAACCGCTTTATTCACAATAGCTAAAATGTGGAAGTGTTCAAGGGATGAATGAATAAACAAAATGTAGTATATCCAAACAATGGGATATTCTTTCTTGAGGTGGGGGGCGATTGCTGGGGATTGAACTTGGAGGTACTCGGCCGCTGAGCCACAAGCCCAGCCCTATTTTGTATTTTATTTAGAGATAGGGTCTCACCAAGTTGCTTAGTGCCTCGCTTTTGCTGAGGCTGGCTTTTGATCCTCCTGCCTCCTCCTTCCCAGACCCTGGCATTACAGGCATGTGCCACTTTTTTTTTTTTTTTTAAGAGAGAGAGAGAATTTTTTAATATTTATTTTTTTAGTTTTCAGCAGACACAATATCTTTGTTTGTATGTGGTGCTGAGGAGCGAACCCGGGCTGCACGCATGCCAGGCAAGCGCGCTATCATTTGAGCCACATCCCCAGCCCCACAATGAGATATTCTTTAGCCTTAAAAATGAAGGAAATTCTGACATATACTACAACATGGATGAACTTTTGAGGACATTAACCTAAAGGAAATAAGCCAGTTACAAAAAGACAAACAGTATATGATTCTATCTGTATGAGATACTTAAACAGTAGTTAACACCAGTTGGATAGAGGAGGAAATATGGAGTTAAAATAGTATAGGGTAGAGAATTTCAGCATTACAAAATGAAGAGCTGTGGAGATGGGCAGTGGTGATATATAGCATAACATTATTAATATATTTAATACCACTGAATCATATACTTAAAAATGGTTAAGATAGTRAATATTATGTTGTATTATCTTACCACAATAAAAAAAAGTTATAGAAGGAAAAACAAAGAATTAAACCAATAATATAAAAATTAATACCTTTTGAAAAAAGGAAAAAGACTTCTTCTGGGTACAGATTGGACTCGGGGCCTTTTATATCTTAGATAAGCTTTCAACTGCCAAGTTTCATATCCAGACCCTGAAAGAAATAGAATTTAAAAAATAAATCTTTGTAAATCAAAAACTTGAAGTATAGCTGGGCGTGGTGGTACATACCTGTTATCCCAAGAGGCTGAGGCAGAAGGATCAAAATATAAAATTAGAACCCCTGAGTCTTTTAACTTTGGGCAGTGAATTCATATCAGCAAATAGTCAGCTAATTAAAAGATAGTTTTAAAGCATGATTCAGCAAAAATTTCCTATAAAGACAGAGTAAATATATTAGTCCTTGTGGGTCTGAGGGCCACTGTCACAACTTCCCAATTCTTCAGTTTTAGTGTGAAAGTAATCATAAGCACTAATATTTTTAATGCAACCATGTTTCAGCAAAATTTTATTTCATAATTTCTAATTCTCAACATACAAAAAAGGTTTTGCTGGCTTTTGTTTGCATCACAATACTTGACCCTTGTGCCATCTTAGTTTGTTGTTGTTTCTTCCTGTCTTGCCCAGACTGGTTTCCATTCCTAGGCTCATGCCATCCTCCTACCTTATCCTAGGCTCATCCTACCATACATGGCCCAGAGAATATTTGCTTTGAAACATTAAAAGATAAAGCAACAGTTATAAAATTTTTGCCTGGAAACTCAGCACTTAAACTAATAGTCCTTTTTTGAATTCCTTATTCTCTTTTACAGGTTGTTGTATGAAATTATCCCACTTATTTAGACTAAGCTTTGGGAGAGGAGTTAGACTTCTTAACATAGTTTCATCAACATCTGTATTCTCTTTTTTTAGACAATGACAGTTTGCCAAGTAAAATTATCTAATGGCTTACTGGTACACGGGCCACAGTGCCACTCTGAAAATGAAGCCAAGGAGAAAGCTGCACTTTTTGCTTTACAACAGTTGGTAAGAACTGTCCATGACTTCTCTACTGAATTTTTAATTAGTTTCCATACAAACATTTTGTTTTACTGTCTTATAACTTTTAAATATTTCACAGGGCTCTTTAGGAGTGAATTTTTCTTTGCCTCCACCAATATTTCCAAATTATCCTCCCACTGTTCCAGCTGGAACCATACCTCCAGTCTTTCCCCAACCTACTGGTAAGATATTTTGCTTCTGTAAGTCTTTAACTCTGAGTTGTTGTTTTTACTAAGTTCTTTTAAGAAGCTTTTTTTTTTTAATTAAAAAAATATATACTAAGATGTCTAGGAATAAAGAAGAATAGATGCAAAAATTCTCAATAAAATTCTGGCAAATTAAATACAAAAACATATTAAAAAAATTAAAGTACACCACAATAAAGAGGGTTCATCCCAGGGGTGCAAGCTTGGTTCAACATATGGTAATCAGTAAACGTAATTCATCATGTCAATAGACTTAAAGACATGATCATCTCAATAAATACTGAAAAAGCATTTGACAAAATATAGCACCCATTCATGCTCAAAACACTAGAAAAAATAGGGATATTAGAAACATACCTCAACATTGTAAAAGATATATACACTAAACCAAAGGCCAATATCATTGTAAATGGAGAAAAATTGAACAACAAATATATGAAAAAATAAATGTTGGTGAGAATGTAGGGGAAAAGATACACTTATACTTTGCTGGTGGGATTAAAAATTAGTGCAACCACTCTAGAAAGCAGTACAGAGAGTCCTCAGAAACATTTGACCCAATTATTCCACTCCTCAGTTTATACACAAAAGACTTAAAATCAGCATACTGTAATGACATGGCAACATCAATATTTATAGCAGCTCAGCTGACAATAGCTAAGCTCTGGAACCAACCTAGGTACCCTTCAGCAGATGAATGGTTAAAGAAAATGTGCTACATACACAATGGATTATTACTCAGCCTTAAAGAAGAACAACATTATGGCATTTTCTGGTACATGGAGAGAGCTAGAGAATATTATGCTAAGTGAAAAAAGCCAATCCCAAAGAACCAAAAGCCAGATTTTTTTCTTTGATATGCGGGTTGTAATTCACAATGGGGGACAGGCACCTAGGGAAGATAAGATCMCATTATCTTCTATTTCTCTACATAACTAAAGTAAATCTAGTGCAAAAGTAAAGGCATTTTCAGACATATGAATTTATTTTATTTCCTATGTGTGCCCTTTCTTAAGAAGTTACTGGAACTAAGCACAGTGATACACATTGTAATCCCAGTGACTCAGGAGGCTGAGGCAGAAGGATCACAAGTTTGAGACCAGCCTGCACAACCTAGCAAGACCTTTCTCACTAGGAATGTAGCTCAATAATAGAGCACCCTAGTACCAGAAAAATAAAAATGAAAAAGTTACTGGATTACCTGTTTTGGCAAACAAAGCAATAATTTTAGAAAGAAGAAAACCATGAGACCAAAAGAAAAAGTTGCAGATCTATAGATCTGATATACTCAAGTAAAGGATGTAAGGATGCCGGCTGCTTAACAAGTCTAGAAAGTAACTACTTCCAACTGGGAAGCAGAAGGAAGTCTTGGCAAGTAAAGCAGATTATCTGCTACCCAGGCAACATTTGAAAAAACATTAAAAATAGATACAAAAAGACTAAGCAGCTTTTAAAAGATAATTTCCAACCAGAATATAAAGTTTTACAAGAAAAGAAACATAATCAGACAATCTTGCTTTGCAGTGACAAAATTTAAACRATTATGTATCATAAACACTTTATTAAGCAAATATATACATGTATTAGGAGGACAGGGCAAGTAGTGAGGGGTAATGCAAAAGAACTGAATTTTGATCTATATAGCCAGTCAATAGTTCTAAAAATGCTTAAAATTGATAAATTACTCATTAGGAGCATAAGCAGTATTGAGCAGTATGGAAATGAACATCTAAACTTAATTAAACCTAGAGTAGAACATGTGGCTATTGTTTTATGTTGAAAACTTATGTGAAGTACAGTGTATATGTAATACATTGATCTTTGTTAAAAAGTACTTCTCTAAGGTTATAATTACTAAGTAGCAGAATTGTTATTCCAAGTACAAGTTTGACTGTTTTCAAAGCCCATGGTTTTGTAACTATACTACACAAATATTCCTTTGACTGTATAAACAATGTTTTCATCAAGGCTCAGTGTACTAATGTCACTGTTAATTCATCGAATTAATTTTGACTGATTCTTCACTTTTAAAAATGAATCCAGTAGCCGGGTGGTGGTGCTTGCCTGTCATTGCAGCAACTCTGGAGGCTGAGGCAGAAGAATCACAAGTTTGAGGCCAGCCTGAGCAACTTCATAAGACCCTGTCTCAAAATAAAAGTTAAAGGGCTGAGAATGTGGCTCAGTGATAGAGTGACTCTGAGTTCAATCCCCAGTACTGCTCAAAAACAAAACAAACAAAAAAGTAAATAAAAAATATGGAGAAAAATACATTTATATCAGTGATTTGTTGGAGAAATTATGAAGCAAAACTTTGCATAAGGTTAACATTGTTTTATTTTTTTATTTATTTATTTTTTATTTTTTTGGTGTGTGTGTGTGTGTGCTTGGAATTGAATCCATGGCCTCATACATGCTAGACAAACACTTTAGCACTGAGCTGTTTTCCCAACCATTTTTTAAAATTTTCTTTACCATCTGGCAATACACACCTACAATCTCAGTTACTTAGAAGGCTAAGGTAAGAGAATCAAAAGTTCAAGACCATCCTTAGCAACTTATAAAAATTTTTTTAAAAAATTTTTAAAGGGCTGAGGATGTAGCTCGGCAGTAAAATGCCCAGTATTGCATAAATAAATAAATAAATAAATAAATGAAAATTTTCTGCATCTATTACTTGTGTATGTATAATTCACAACACTGATATATACTGCAATTTTTCTCTGCTGAGGGGAAATATTTTTCTCAAGTATCTGCATTTTAATTAAAATATAAGTGCTTTGTTATCTCTCTGAGAAGAAGGTTTGAACATATTTCATATCTTCTTCAGTAGCAATGTGCTGTTGTCTTGTCACTGGTAAATGTGGTAGTTCCCATATGTTGCACTGGTGCTATCTGCATACAGATCACCTGAGGAGCTTGTTAGCAATACAGATTCCTGAGCCTTCCAAGTCTGACTGAGTAGGTCCAAGTTGGTAAGTCTGCCCAGGAGTCTATTTCACAAGCTCCCCAAGTAGCTCACACAGATAAATCAGGTTTCAGAATCTTTGATATAATGTGTTGCTAATAAGAAGCCAAAGCAAAAATATCCTTGAAATACAAACATTAGAAGAGAGAAAAGCAAGATTCTACATACCATATGAAAGAGATCAGATTTTAGGATTTTAGGATTTGAGCTTTTTGGGGTTTTGTTGTAATCTGGGAGCACTATGGAAGCAATTTAGCATTGAGGGCAGGCAAGATTTTTATTTAAAACGTAACTCCAGGTATTCCTACAGCTCCTGTCAGCATATGGTACTATTGGTCTTTGCAGTCCAGATACATTCATTTATTTAGACAGTTCGCAGTCCTGAGAAGAGATCCTGAGGTTGAATGATGTAAACAACATTAATTAAGTGTAAGCCTTTTGCTAAGGAGTGGGAGAGTTTAGAAGCAAGATGTCTTAAATTTTAGGGCTTTAATTTTACTAAGAGAAAGATTTTCTGTGATTTTTAACAGCTAATATGATGCCTTCACCTCATCTCTTTGGCTCAATGCCATGGGGACCACCAGTGCCAGTTCCTGGGAAGCCCTTCCATCATACATCACATTCTGGGACCATACCCATGGCTGGAGGAATGCCAGGTGGAGTGCACAATCAGTTCATACCTCTACAGGTGAGGCCTAGAAAGAGAATTGTTTTTTTAAATGTTCAAAAAATGTCAATAAAAATTCATTATTTGTTTTACTTATTCATTGCCATCTAGAAATCCAGCTCTAGGGATTGTGGGTATAGTTCAGAAGTAGAGCACTTGCCTAGCATTATGCAGGGGTCCCTGGTTTAATCCCCAGCACTAGAAAGAAAAATAAGAGAAAGAAGATTCAAGATGGCCGATTAGAGGAAGACTGTATTTCCAGTTGCTCGTGGCTCATGATTCAAGTACTGCTTCTCAGCAAGGTGGGTGAAAGAGGGAGTTCACTAAAATTCAATAATGGATGGGCTGAGTCTCTTAGAGACTTAGAAATTCGGATGCAGTGAGCAAAGCCCAAGAAGAGTACATTGGAGCCAAGCCAGTTTCAGCAGCAGTGCCAGTTCACCTCAGAGGGAAGGGGTGCACAAACAGAGAAACACAATTGACAGATTGGCACAGAAAACTTATAGAACAGAAAAGCAATATAAACTTAGCTGAACTAGTGACTGACTGCACAGCAAACTGGTGCTTGAAAAAATCTGGCTGTTAACTGGCGAGCAGAGAGCAGAAGCGGAGCCATCTTGAGGCTGGCCATGCTGTAGCCAGGAGATCACAGCATACACTGCCATACTGTCCCTGCAAGTGCCTACCATGTGGCCTATGGTGTACCTAGCAAAAAAAGTTAGTTGTTGGACACGGTACCTTTATTTTATTATGTGAAATAAACACAAAGGAGATTGTGCCCAGGGTGATTCAAGTCAAGGATATGGAGGGGAGTGCAGTTCCCTTTCCCTTTGAGTCTGGCGACTCACGTGACCAGCTGCGGAGGGCTGGGAAATTGGAACAGTTGGTGTGATTATACTTGGGAACTGAGACTGAGAAAGCTGTATTCATGGACAGTGGAGTGTGTGAGACTTGTGGAGGGTTGGCTCCCCCACCCTACAAGTAGAATTCTCAGGAGGCTTCTGAGATCTGGACTCCCACAGAGATTGCATTTGCCCAGTCCTAGAGGTRTGTTGAATAAATCTCTCCAGAACAGATACCACCCAACAAAGTCCCAAAGGCTTGATTAGAGATAAGTCACAGCCACTGGAACTTCCCTCTTAGAACTCTGCAGCAGCCCCATCTGGGAATGCGTACCTGCTCTGTCTGAACAGAGCTCCAGTTAACAGTACTTCTTATAATGGTGAGAAGGGAAGTTGAGAACTATTTCAACCAACTTCAATTTAGGCCTTTGTAGCTAGCAGCTCTGTGAACAAAGCAAAAAGAGGAAGGGGTTAACAACCCCCAGCCCTTGCTCTAAGGGGTACAAAGCTTAGAAAGAAACATGAAGTGAGGCATATACATTGATCATCCTCATCAACAGTTTTGACCACCTTAGTGGAGGTGATTCCTTTATTTTTCATTAAGAATTTTTTTCCTTTGCCTGATTCTCTGGGGAAAGGGGGATTCCTCCCATCCGCTTTCCCTGGTATAATGCTGTCAGCCTGGCTGCCTCCCTTGACCCTGTCTTCTAAGCAATCAATTGGTTTTTTGTTGTTGTTGTTGTTGTTGTTGTTTGGTTTTGGGGGGTTTTTTGCTATGTATCATACTGCCTTTTGTAGGATGGGTGAGAAGCCTCTCGGGTCAGCACATCCCTCCTCCCTAACAATTTCTGTTCTTGACTTGAAAATTGATCTGCAGGGACCTCCCCAACCCAGACATTGGAGAGGGTGAAAGTTGCTAGACAAATGGGTTGGTAAGTCTGCCCAGGAGTGGTGACACAAGAGGATATAACTGTCTATAAACTAAGGAGAGGAGGGGCAAAGTCCTGACTGGAGAGGTGTGGGTTGGGTCCTCTGCCTCTCATTGCATCTCTGACTCTGGAGCTCAGCCCCCTCCTTTTTCCTCAGTGGTAACAAGATATCAATAAATTTACTTTTTCCATGTTCTTGCTATGCTGATTGGTTTGTGGATATATATATGAATATTTGCTTATTTTGTCTCATTTTTAGCATTTTTGTGATTATTTTTCTTTGTCTTATCTCTCAGAAGGGAATTTTGTTTATTTTCATTCTGTTTTGTTTTGTTAGTTGTTGGACACAGTACCTGTATTTTATTTATTTTTTTTATGTGGTGCTGAGGATCAAACCTAGCACCTTGCACATACTAGGTGAGCACTCTACTGCTGAGCCACAACCCCAGCCCCTTCATTCTGTTTTTATTTGTTTTTATTTCTTTCTCTTCTCTTCACTAATAGCCAAATTCTCTTTTCACTTTTGCTGCTTTTTTTTTCCTCCTTCTTCTCAATAGCCATCACTTGCTACATCTCCTGCTTTCTCTCTATTCACACTTTGACAATTCTAAACCTTTTTTTTTGCAGGGGGGGCAGGTACTGGGTATTGAACTCAGAGGTACTTAACCCATGAGCCACATATCCCCAGCCATTCATATTTTTTATTCTGAGACAGGGTCTCCCTTAGGGCCTCACTCTGTTGCTGAAGCTAGCCTTGAACTTGTAATTCTCCTGCCTCAGTCGCTGGAATATAGGTACCATCCTATTACATCTCTTTTCTCTTAAATAACTGCATTTTTACCATCTCTGGATCTATTTGGCTAATGCCTCTACCATTCATGTTGTTACAGTTGTTAATACTATGTATGGCATAATTGACAACTGCTATTTAATGCCAGATCTAATTCACAGCTACTTATCATTTTTGCTCTTGGCAATTGCTGACCCCACCATTCTTGTTTTTGTGATAATTAGTGTTATAAATGTCATAGTAGGAACTGGGTATTTTAGTGTTATATATTGTTTGCTTCTGTTGTTGATGTTGGTTGTTTCCCCTTCTCTGTGAGGTGCTGTGATCTGAAAGTTCACAGGGTACAGACTCTGCTGCTGAGATATCCAGCCAAGAGAACAGTGTACCTTGCTCAGACTTAAATAATACTTTGATACAAAGAAGAGACAAAAAATCCAAATGAACAACCAGGCCCCAAGTAAGAATGGCTACTGGAGGCCTTCAGAACCACCCATGGACAGCTACTCCTATAGCAAAAACACTGAGAATTAACAAAAAGATTGTGGACACCACACCTATGAGGGGTCTCAATCTAGATCACTGCCATACTCCTTTAGAATAAAGAGTTATTAAGTGAAAAAGATCTGTCACAAGAAGATATACCTACATGCTGTGCTGTATATATTACAATGGCCAGACCCATAAAAAGGATCCCAGTCCTTTGAGACTTACAGGGAAAGTGGAATCCTCGAGCTCTGACAGAATATACACTCTGTCAAAATACACTAAATCACCAAAGAACTAGCAGGGAAACTATACTACAAATCCTGCTTGAAAATATATTGGGGAAAAAAAAATCACTTATCCCAGACCTACTCTGGCAATAAAAGGCTATTCTGTAAAAATGTCCACATGTAAATGGAAGAAAAATCTTTCCCAATATATGCATAAAACCTAATACATGAATACAAGAAATGTGAAAAAATAAAGTAACACAATGCCTTCTAAAGTTTATGATTCACCAGCAACTGACTCCAAAGATATTGAAATGGATAAAATACCAGATAAAGAATTCAAAAGAATGGTGATCAATGAATTCCAAAAGAACAAAGAAAAACAACTGAATGAATTAAGGAGGTCAGTACAGAAGAGGAATGAGAAATTCAGAAAGGAGATAAAGTTATTGAAAAATAACCAAACAAATCTAGAAAATGAAAAACAGAATAAATAAATTAAAAAGTTCAGTTGAAAGTCTCTCTAATAGAGTAGACCACACTAAAGATAGAATTTCAGAGTTTAGAGATGAAGTAACCAGCCTAGAACAGACATATTAAAGAAAAGAAGTAACCATGATCAGAATATAATAGACCTCTTAGACAACATTAAGAGACCAGATTTAAGAATCATTGGAATTAGAGAGGATTGTGAGATGCGTGCTAATGGAATGAATAACCTCTTCAGGGAAATAATAAAAGTTTCCAAACCTTAAGAACGAGATGGACATCCAGATATAAGAGATATTCAGAACCCTAAATAGACAAAATCAAAAAAGAAACTCTTGCCAGGCACAGTGGCACACACCTGTAATTCCAGCAGTTTAGGAAGCTGAGACAGGAGGGTTGCGAATTCAAAGCCAACCTCAGCAATTTAGTGAGGTGCTAAGCAATTCAGTGAGACCCTGTATCTAAATAAAATACAAAATAGGGTTGAGGATATGGCTCAGTGGTTGAGTGCCCCTGAGTTTTTCTACAAAAAAATAAATTAAAAAAAGAAAGAAACTCTTCCCAACGCATTATAATTAAAATGCCTAACATACATAACCAGAATATAATTTTTTAAACCTTAAGATAAAAACATCAAGTTATATTTAGAGGCAAGCCAATCAATCAGAATTACTTTGATTTCTTAGCACTTAACTCTAAACTCCAGGAAGGTTTGGAATAATGTGTTCTAGGCCCTGAGAGAAAATAACTCAACCAAGATTACTTTATCTAACAAAGTTACCCTTCAAAATCAAAGGAAAAATAAAAACCTTCCAAGATAAGAAGGCACTAAACGAATACATTACTACTAAGCCAGCACTACAGGAAATACTTAACTACCATATACTGAAGAACTCAAGAACAAACCCTAAAGCTTACAAGTGGGCAGATTTCATTTGAAGAATAGCTAAGCAAAAGAGAAATAGAGTCAAAATAGAAAAAAAGTGGCAGGAATAAAAATCTCTATAATAACATAGGGTGTAAATGGGCTAAACTCTCCAATTAAAACACACAGGCTAGCAGAATACATTTTATAACAAGATCCACAACCAGGTATAGTGGTACATACCTATAATTCCAGTGACTTAGAAGGCTCAGGTGGGAGGATCTCAAGTTTGAGGCCAGCCTGGGTAACTTAGGCCCTAAGGAACAATAAGACACTGTCTCAAAATAAAAAAGAACTGGGGAGGTAGCTCAGTGGTAAAGCATCCCTAGGTTC